TGGCCCGGCTGAGAGCTGGAGGGCAATATAGGAGGTATATAATATGCAGGGTTCAGCACTGCACCATTACGCGGAAAACCTAATCAGGAAATTTCATATTTCAGAATAGGAGTCAAATGATGGAATATTATGTCACTACATTTGCGAAATGGGTGATGCAGTATGGCTTAATTAAGGACTCCTTTACTTCGAAGCAGCGTCGCATATTAGCACGTATGTCTCTAGGAAACCGATATCATGCGGGCTTCTACATAAAATCCCCAAGGCATACGAACACGCTGATATAGGTGGGATGCCTACTTTGGCAATTAGCTCTCTGCTCAGATCCGGGGCGGCTGAATACCATCGTATAGTGATCAGCAGGTAACTTAATAACAGCCCATGCATGGGTAAAATGTCCACGACGAAGTACGGGGTATGTCATCTACGACCTCATTGGCTAGAGCCTACGGCGGAAACAGATATGTCGTATTGGTATTCTTGGCAAGTTACTCCTTTTGAAATACTACATGTCGAGACTGACATCACACTGCAATACCATAGTACGACTTGGGTTTAAGGCAACATGCCCAGTTTATTGCTTAATCATCGCAGAGTTATTCCCATATACCCCTAGGACAAGATCACAAACCATTGTCCTTACCCCAGCATAGTGGTAGAGGGTAGAGGGAAGAAGCAACCCATTCTCTTAATGCCAGCCACACAAATCAAGGGAAATCCATCGCAAGTGTGACTATAAGTAATCCCAGAATCACCCCAACCCAGATCGTCCACCACTGTTTGATGAGTTGCGTCGAATCTATACGAGGTGAAATTTTTCCTGGAAAAGCAACGCAAACCTTGCATATCTTAGGCGCTCGAAGCCACCAGATAGACGAAGAGGACTGTTAGGTCATTTTCTCGCAAGGCCACTCCAGGTAGCCTTCCCCTGAAGTTGACTTTCATTCGGCTTCGGTCTGGAGCCAGATGCCTCGGCTTGCTTGGACTCAGCCCACTGGTTCGAACCCGGCACAGGTCCAGCCGCAGAAGCTTGGCTGGGCGTACCCCAATCGTCGCTGAGCTTCACCTGTACCGGCTCGTCGAAAGCTTTGCGGATAGATCTGACATCCAGAGAGCCATTGCTTACCTCGCGCAAGATACGGCCGAATTGAGCAGCGTTGCGAATTCTGCATTTGCTCAGGGCGACGGTCTCGGCGTGTTGGATCCAAGAGCTGGTGGTCGTAAACGTACCTCTGCATCCCGGGCATCTGAACTCGACGGCGGTATGCTTTGGGGACTTGAGATGAGTTATCATGGCGTAGGAGGTCTTGCACTTGACACTACAGATGTGTAAGACGTGAATCACTCGCGAGAGGATTGAAGCAGCTGGTACTTACTTGCACTTCTTGTGAGGGCATGTGTAGACCTCTAGGATCGGATTGAAGAAGACTTCCACGTCGAATCCAAGCATATCGGGGACAAGGACAGGCCCAATCGAGGGTTCAGTTGCAGGCGTCGGTCCAGCGTAGTTCTCGGTCAGAGTGGACGGAGCGGCAACAGCCTTGCGACCTTGCGCCTCGGGGAACAGGTTCTTCTTCTGACTCCAAACGTTACCAGGTTGCGAAGACAGTGGAAAACCCTGGGTCACAGTTGCTGGAAAGTCGTCGGGATTGCTCTGTGCATCGAAGCTTGGAGCGTCGTCGTCTTTCCAGTCGGCCCAAGTATCTTTGATGTGAGATTCCTTGGAGAAGACCTTGGACACAGCATCCACTTGGGCTCTCTGGCCCCATTCCTTGTTCAACTGTTGCATGAACTGGGCAGTGTTCCCAGTCATGTCCGAGGAGAAGAGAGAAGGGCACTCGTCGTCCTCGACATGGCGCATCCAACCGCCCGCGTTGACGAACGTCTTGGTACAGCCGGGGCATACGATGCAGGCAGGGCATCGGTGGGCCTTTTCCAGGTTTCATGTAAGCTATTGCAAACTTCATGGCCGGTAATATGGACTTACTTGAGTACGATGGGCCGATAGAGCCTCCGGATTGTAAAAAGAGTCGCCGCAAATCTCGCAAAACAAATGCCCAGTCTTGAGCTTGTGGACGGTCAATTCATGCTGGTCATTGAATGTCTTGGAGCACTTGTCGCATCTCGGGAGGGCAGGCGTGAAGCCACGGTCATATTCGGACTCCATGGCCGCGGTTGCGTCGTGTCAGGTAGTTGGTGGCTAGAAGAACTATGGATGAGATTAGGCGGCGTGATGACGCGGAAGTAGCGTTAATGCAGATCTGTGCCTACCTGGACAGATGAGAACGTGAGGGACAAGTTCTCGGTGTCTTGCTCCTAAGCAGAGAAAAGAAAGAAATAGAAAGGTTTGTCACGAGAGGGCAGGTCCAAATGCAAAGGCCAGAGGTTTGGGTCCGCCGCACTTGCCAAACCCAACAATGACCAACAATAATATACTAAAATGGAAAGCTCGTCGCTAATGCTTATTGCATCTAAGCAGAATACCTTATGTACCCAGGCAACGCCCAAGTTGTTTGCAGCTAGTTCCTGCAATTGATACAATCGTTGCTCAACAACGAGCTGATAATGAGGTACCCTTGCCCTCCTGGCATTCCCTCACAGGGCTTCACTAATATGAGCATGCTAAAGCCAATTCCAAGTATTTATTTCTTAGGTACCTAGATACCGTACAAATCACATCAACGTCCAGGTTGATTGCCTCGAAAGCTACAATCATATATACCAGCAGCATATCCATGAAAACTGCGAAAGCCTACATACACGTATGTAAACCTACCAGTTTAGGTAGGTATATGGATACAATGCTGACTCGTATTTCCGAGACTTGGAAGATATTTCCTATCTACCCAAATTCAACACATATATGAGTAGGATATGGCCATTGTGTAATGCATTCAATAGCGACGTTATATGTCGGATTTCGATCAGGAAGCTCGGGAATAGGGGGCGAACTTGGAGACCTCAGGTAATTCCACTATGTATTTAACGAGTCGTTTCTAAAACTAAGTACATTAACCAGTATTACCTACTCGGCCGGAACCGGCATAATTCCACGTGTCGTATCGGTATCGATAAAGGCGGTGCTTACGTAGTACCTAATGATGCTTTAGATCATATTGCAATCCGCGACCCGAAATGCATCAAGACAACCTGGCCTTCCTTCGCCTCCTTGCGACTTTAAAGAATCCCATAAGCCTCAACCTAATTCTAAGCTTACCACTCTTTACATATTAAGCTCCATTTCCCAGTTTCTTTTTTCCTATAGTACAAAGCCTGCAATTGAAAAAACCCTTATTGGAGTTTCTTCTATATCACGCAATGCCCTACGGCGATCCCTAGCTCTACGAACGGGCTAGAAGAGAGACATATCGTGAAACACCGTCGTACCCAAGCCACCCATCATGGCTACTCCCAAAATCAATTCCAAGTCGCCCACCATCCGGCGCATACGTACGGCTCCCCCTCCATCCCTCCCTGCCGATCCATCTCACCCCTCCTCTGCCCTAGTTCATAACTAATCAACACGTACACTACAGTAAAAGAAGCCGCCGAACTCGCCAACTCGCCGTCCCCGGACTACGCCGCCTCCCCGCTCGAGACCGACCTCTTCGAGTGGCACTTCACGCTGCGCGGGCCCCCGCGCTCGTGCTACGAAGAGGGGCTCTACCACGGCCGCATCGTGCTGCCGCCGACGTACCCGCTGCGGCCGCCGTCCTTCCGGTTCGCCACGCCCAGCGGCCGCTTCGAGGCCAACCGCGAGATCTGCCTGAGCATATCCGGCCACCACGAGGAGACGTGGCAGCCGGCGTGGGGGGTGCGCACCGCCCTCGTCGCCCTGCGCAGCTTCATGGAGACGGACGCCCGCGGCCAGCTCGGCGGCCTCGACACCTCGGACGCCGTGCGCCGGAAGCTCGCCCAAGAGAGCAAGGGGTGGCGCTGCGCCGCGTGCGCCCGCACCAACGCCGAGATCATGGCCGAGACCGAGGAGCGGTGCCGCGAGCTCGACGATGGTGCGGAGGCGGCGGCGGAGGAGGGGGGTAGTGGTGGTAGTAGTAGTAGTAGTAGCAAACGGAAGGAGGTCGAGGTCCCCGCAGAGCTGAAGCTCGAGTTCCGCGACGAGATGGACAGGGCTAGGGCACAGCGGCGGCAGCAGCAGGCTAGCGGGGACGAGGGCAAGGGCACCAAGGAGGAGGATGCGGAGAGCGCGGAGCTGGCTGAGGGCTTCGTGCAGACTGCGCCTGAGCCGGTGCCGGCTCCTGCTATACCAGCCCAAGGCGTGCCGGCGCCGACAGGGAGGATACCGTTGCCGGATCCGGTGGGGCAGGCTACTCCAACGCCAACAACGCAGGTACAACATACACAGAGCCAAAGGCCGATACACCCGAACGCGGGCGTGCCGGTTTGGGTCGACTACGCCATCGTGTCGCTGGTGGTAATACTAATCGCCATGCTTATGAAGATTCTGGCCGGGCATTGATAAACGGACAGCTGTTTTTAAGCGGGGGCGGGTATTGGGTAAATCGGCGTTACAGGGACGGATGGACAATGGTGGCGTACTAGGTGAACGGAAGTATTCCTAACGAAATGTTGATACCGAGGATTCGGTTTAAAGTATGTTTTACACACGACTCCTTGAAATAATGTATGGTCTTGACGGGTATGCTATTAAGATTAGAAAATAACCTCAAAGTGTGCTACTGCTTGCTCTGAACAATATATTAAGCTCACATATCGGTTGAGCATCAACTACTCAGTGATATTATTTACACCTTGTAGTATAAATAGTGATATATGTTCGCGTCTTTCTTCCTAGCTTTAGATTGGCTTATACGGAATACCTGGGTCATGAGCATTGAAAGGACGGATGTCGTGAGTTGCCATTGCCACCCCCTAGTGTGTGAGCTTGTATGTCTTATGGTCGCTGTGCAAATAAGTCAGTCACAACTAGCAGAGAAAGGTAAATGGAAAGAGTTGTCAAAAAGAAAAAGATATCAAATGATTAGCGCCAGATGGGATCGAACCATCATTTACGCCGACGTTGATTCACTCGTAAACCATAACGCGGTGTTGTCCTGCCATTAGACGATAGCGCTCTGCAAATCGTAATGGAGGAGTATTAGGTAGTGATACTCATTCTTGCCAAAAGAACCTTATAACCATAATCCCAATTACCGGCCCAGATTACCCTGATGTTGAGCACCCGGTCCTAGAGGGACCACGATGGGAGCAACCTCGTTAATGTGTAAGACGAATCAAATGACGGACCTGGAAAAGCTGATAGCATACGTTCACGTTTATTGCTGTGTTATTGATAACAAGATATAAAACGTCTGGATAAATTAGCGACGTAACTGTAGTGAGGTCTTTTGACCTCATAAATAGTATGAAAGCACATATTTCTTATGCTTAGGGCCTTGCTCTAGGGTATCAACTCAATACCAAGGTGAAGGTGAACTACATCACAACGGCTAAAGTAGCAGATGGTAGAAGGCATTCTTAGTACCTATAGGCAAACCATCTCTTTTTTTGGTGATATAGAAGTCCCAGAAAAGCAACAAAGCAAGAAGCCCCTTAATGCTTTGCAGCATGATGTGCCCCTTTTTTCTCATAAACGCCTTTGCCATGCTCTTTAAATCCATGCTTCTCCCGTGCCTGCAATCAGGCAAATGGAATCAACGCCCTAGGAATATACACATTACTACAGCCTATCCTTACATCTCCTGACTCTGAGGAGGATCGTCCCCCTTCACGCCCAGTACCAGCTTGCCCACCACCAGCCACCACCACTCGCCCACCGTAGCGCTCTCCTGCGACTCAAAGCGCTCCAGGATACCGAGGCCGTCGACCCAGTCCATAATAATCTTGGCCTCGAACGGCTCGACGAACGGCTTCATAAGCACGCTCGTGGTCTCCGGGGTCAGGGGTCCCTTGGTCGCGAGAGCCATGACAATCATGCTGAGATACGTAATCCAGCGGTCCTTGTCGAGGTTCCCGAAGAAGTCGACCCAGATGGGGATCATGTCTTGGGGTCCGTTCCGCGGCGGCTCCATGCGCACCACCTGTTGCAGCACCGGCAGGTCCCGGTCGTACACGTAGTCGTCCGTCGGCGAGAGCTTGACGTCGAAGTGATAGTAGCTCTTCGGGTAAGTCCTGCCGTCGTAGTTGCCCGGCTCGAACCCGAACGGAATGTCGGGGATCTCGACCGGCTCCATGTGGATGCGGGCGTTGGCCTGGAGGTTCAGGGTCGCCATGATCATGCCGTCGTTAGCAGTGTACGGGAGCAGGAACTCGTCGCCCTTGCGGAAAGTCTCGTCTAGCTCTGCCTTGAACTGAGCGGCCTGCTTAAATTTGTCGACGGTGGGGGTTCTCTCGAGCTGCTTCGCGAACACGCCGTGCAGTCGTAGAGACTGGCCAAGGATCTTCCCTTTGCTTCTTGCCGCAACCCGCTCCGCGGTGAGCCGATCGACTACCTTCTTGAGCAGCTTGTTTGCTTCGGCTTCGTTCCCACCGCTCAACCTTAGGAGTTTTGTACGAATCTCCTCCGGCATGCGGGCACCCTTAATAGGGGTTACACACAGCGAGCGGACCCATGATCTTGCGCGTCGCGTAAGCCCGTCGTAGGCTTGGGTATTGTAATTCAATGGGATGGAAATAGCTTCAGCAGACGTTGCTTCGACTCGCGAAAACATGGAGGCCAAGCTGTGGAACCACGTCTCTCTCCAGTCTGTAGCCTCGTTGGCTATTGTCTCGAGCGAATAAGCCTTTTCCATAGCTGGTCGTGTTTCCGGGAGATTCACGTTCTCATGCGTCTCAAGTTTCGTTGCCCAGGTGATCAGAGACTTCCAATCGTACGACTCGAGATCATCGTAATTAAGGGGTGCAACCTCACCCGACTCATACGCCTCCAGGAATGACGTTTGGAATTTGGCAGTCAGTGCTTCGATATATGTCTTCCGTTCCTTGCTGACCCTGGGCCAGAATCTTTTAAGGGCCGAATGAGAGAAGCCGGGGAAGGTTTTCAAGATTAATCCGAGGTCTGTCTTCCTATCGACGCCCCCTAAAAGTGTCTTGAAAACTACAAATGCCGCTATGAGTTCCGTTTCATTAGCAAGACCTGTATTGCCTGTTTTTTCTTCGTCAAGCCGTGGCTTGTTTACACGCCCACGGTGTTGAACGGTTATTGCTGTGAGATGTCGCGTCTTATAATTGATTTCCATCTGCGCTATCACGGCTGGCTGAGGTTTCTTCAGAGGCTTCGGTGGCGTCTGCTGCTTGGGGTCTGATGCGCCTTTCGGTTGCTTTTTAGGTCTGCCTCTACCGCGATAGATTATCTCTGGCAGACCGGCATTTTCGTCCTCAAGCGTTGCATTCTTGATCTCGTCAGGAATATTTGCTGCAGTGTATTGGGTTTCGCCTGGCCATTCGAGGGTGACAGGCTTCATATTCGTCCTCGAGGCATCAGGGAACAAGGACATGAATCTATAATCTGGGGCGATTGACCCTTGTAAGAGAATTTGGGATCCCTCAGCCGATTGCTCCCATTTCTCAATGATGTCAACTTCCCGCAAAAACTTTCCATATAGAGGATCTGTCCAGCAGCCAAATAAGAATTTGCCCGAATAAGACCTGATGATATCCCGGGCACCCTGCGGTAAATTCTGGAGCTGGAACCATTTGGTATCTGGCATGCTTCCAACGAGGGTGAAACTCGTCGAGTCCGACTCAAAGAAACTTGCTGGCAACGCAGGCCAATAGCCTTTGGATGTGCTTCGTATCATTGCTTTGCTCGGGAATTTCGTATTAGCCTCATCAGATGAACCTGGTGAGCTGTCGCTAGTATCGCCGCGCCGAGTGTAGGATATATCATCTTCATCGTCCGATCCAGAATATTCCGGCACGAAGGAGGTAGAAACCGATGGTGGAACGAATCGATCCAATAAGATCCTGTCGGTCCCCTTTGCCATCCTAGCCAGTTCTAATTCGTCCACATCATCCTCATAATCGTAATTCCATTCAGAGAAGTTCCCGTTCTTTTCCGAAGCTTCATTACGACCCTTGGATTGGCTATTGTATGCTATCCGTGCCGAATTCAATGCATTCTGGCGGTTTGTTTGGATCGAGGACAAGATAGCGTTGATTTCTGGCCGTGAGGATGTTGTCTCTTGGGGTAAGCTGGACCATGCGCCAGTCGTGAAGTCTTGAAGGCAAGCCCGTTTCTGATCCCATTTTTCATCGGGCTTCTGTTTCTTCTTCCAGATATATTTAGCAAGTTTCCCATTATCCCAATGCTCGCTTCGTTTTCGAGGTTTTTGGGAGCTTAGAGTCGTGATTGTATCAATGCGGGGTTTTTTAGTAGGTATTGCGCCCGCCGTCTCGTCCTCCTCGATGCGTCGTTTCAGGTTGGTAGCATGAGTACCTGCTTCTCCCAGAACATGCGCTGGGTATTTTAAGACTTCAATATCCTCAATCATGCCCGATTTCTGGGCTTGTCGGCGGCTCCCACCCGACTGCTGCGTGTCCCTGTAACTTGACGCAAGTGCGTTGAAGAGCTTGTTCTCTTCCTCGGATAACGAGAAGGCCTCTGGAACATAGGGTACCGGGAACATCTCTCTCATCTTCTCCTTGATAATATTGACCTTGGGAGTTGTTGCTAAATCTGCGGTGGTAGCCTCGCCTGGCTGGGGTTTTGCTAGCACACAGCATTCCTGAAGTTTACTATTATCATCAAGAAAGCAGAAGTGCAGCTGGAACAGCGCCCCAGCCTTTTCCATGTTCTTGACCACAGTCTGACACGCCTTCCAGTCAGGAGGTTCTATATCGCTGTGGTTTTTAACCCAGAAAGAGACCACAGCATAGTAGAGAGACTTCTGTCCAGGGAACACACCATCGTTATTGTCAAGCAGATGCCCAATTATACGAGTCACGCGTTCTCTGCGTATTGTGCCGACCGTATATGTAGATGGTTTACGGGCTTTCTGAGATGCGTCTGGGTGCGTAGATTCGGTGCCCGGTTGATTGTTCGCTTCTTTATGGCTTTGGTCATTTTTCCCTGCGCTTGCACGTATTTCTGGCTGGTTTTTGGGCATCAAACCTCCGTCGGGGATGTGTGGTATTATGTGGATTTTGTTTTTCATTTCAGAGATGTCCGACGCTGTAGAGAGATTCGCTTCATTTTCAGTTCCTCGAGCACGCAGGACTCCGATTCCCCGACCCTGAAGCGGCTGCTTTGGTTGTAATGACACTTGGGTCGTCGGACGCAGTTGGAATCCCGAGTTGTCGGCGTGAAGCGAAACTGCTTGACTATTTTCACGTCGTCGTCGATGATCAATAATATCATAAGCCTCCACGTCCTGCAGAATAACAGTGCTCCGAATAGAGCCATGTACAGATAATTCACCATCATCCTGAGGATGTTCAAGGATTTTATTTGGACGAATGCGCCTTGAAGGTAGCGTAGGAAGACAACGTCCAGCATCGGTAGCGGATTGCTTCGACTTGCGCACTGATTCTGGGGCATCAACCTGATCATCGTTGTTAGAGGCTGCTGTAGTCGGGTTTTTAAGTATCGACTTAGGCTTGGGAGGCGGGGGCGGAGGTGGAGTAGGTGGCGGAACATAGGAAGGATTGCAGTCGGTTTGAGATTTGTTAAGATGATAATTTAGACCATTCGGGTTCTTCCAACTATGCCCACACTTATCACAACGGAATACTCCTTTACGACCACGCTTTGGTGGAGGCTGGGTAATCTGGGTCGTTACTGCTTTCACTGGCACCGCGGAATCATCTCCGGGTATAGCCTGAGATGAGCCCCGGGTCAAATTCATGGGTTGTGAAGTCTCATGTTGGCGCGAGGTTTCTCCAGAGCCTTCTGGTTGAGTATCTTGTGTCTTGTTGAAGAATGAAGGGTCCTTGAGTGCATTAAACTTGAATGTGAGAACCAGCGACTTTCTTCGGCGTCCTTTCTTCTTAGGTGGATCGAGCGAGTTGTCGGGTTCACGATAAACGCCTGGTGGTCGGACAGGTAACGGCGGGATAGGCGCGGAAAGAGCCAATCCTTCTGGGTTATCTAGTAGGCGCTTTAGGGTTGAGTTGG